AACTCTAATGAGGGTTGGTTCCTCTATCAAATACTTGTCAGGCCAAGGGAAGGAGGCCCTGAGGCGAGAAATTTCATCTTTTTTTGGTACTAGAGAGATTTTATTTTACTCTTCCGATAATTAAAATAAAACAATTCCACATCAGTGCGTGTAAAATTGAGATTTCCAAAGAGATTAGTAAAAGAAAAAAGACTATCCGATGAGATTAGGATTTTGCTAGCCAATTTGCAAATCTCATTTGCTATGAAAGTAAAAGAATGTTGAAAAATGGAAAATGAAATCTTATATATAAAAGAAAAAAACGTTAGGGCAATCCTAAAAAAACCCTAATGTCATATTTGTAATTTGTTTTTGTGTTAATTTCGATTTCTATCAAATTTATTTCATAAATATTATTTTAAACATTATTTTTGAGTTTTATCAGATTTTATATCTCTTAAATATTATTTTAGATTTTTATCAGATTTATATCTCCTAAATATTATTTTCGATTTGTATCTCCTAAATATTATTTTCGATTTCTATCAGATTTTTGTTTCCTAAATATTATTTTAAATATTATTTTCGATTTTCATCAAATTTTATCTCATAAATATTATTTTAAATATTATTTTCCAATATATAAAAGAAAGATACGCTAGGGCAACCCTAAGAAACCCTAATGTCATATTTGTAATTTTTTTTTTATTATTTTCGATTTTTATCAAATTTATCTCATAAATATTATTTTTGAATTTTATTATATTTATATCTCTTAAATATTATTTTAAATATTATTTTAGATTTTTATCATATTTTTATCTCCTATATATTAATACTTTCGATTTGTATCAGAGTTTAATCTCCTAAATATTATTTTTCGATTTTTATCAAATTTTTATCTCATAAATATTATTTTCGATTTTATCGATTTTTTAATCTCCTAAATATTATTTTAATTATTATTTTCGAATTTTATCAATTTATATCTCCTAAATATAATTTTAAATATTATTTTTTATTTTTAGCAAATTTTTATCCCCTAAATCTTTATTTCAATTTTTATTAGATTTTTATCTCATAAATATTGTTTTAAATATTATTTTCGGTTTTTATCAAGTTTTTATTTCCTAAATATTATTTTAAATATTATTTTCGAATTTTATCAAATTTATATCACCTAAATATTATTTTAAATATAGTTTTCGATTTTTATCACGTTTTTATCTCCTAAATATTATTTACGATTTTTATCATTTTTTTATCTCATGAGTATTATTTTAAATATTATTTTTTATTTTTATCATACTTTTATCTCCTAAATATTATTTTAATTATTATTTTCAAATTTTATCAAATTTTTATCTCTTGAATATTATTTTAAATATTATTCTCGATTTTTATTAGATTTTTATCTCCTCGATATTAATTTTCAAATTTTTATCAAATTTTTATCTCCTAAATAATATTTTAAATATTATTCTCGACTTTCAGCAAATTTCTATCTCCTAAATAATATTTTTAATTTTTTTCAGATTTTTATCTCCTAAATATTATTTTCGATTTTTATCAATTTTTTATGCCGAACCAGCCCAATCACTCCTTTTTTCAGCCATAAATATCTCTAATGCACAAACAATTAAATCTCCTAAATATTATTTTATCTCCTAATTTTCAGCCATAAACATCTCAACACTAAATATTATCTTATATATAAAAGAAAGAAACGCTGGGCAACCCTAGAAAACCCTAATGGTGTTTCTGTAATTATTTATTTTTAATATTTTTTTCTACTAATTTTCTTACTATAATTTTCAACAATTATCAATCTCCTATTTTTCATCAATATATCTCAAATCTTAAGAGATAAAGATAGAAATTCGATTTGTTAATCGTAATCTATATATTTGGATTATAAATCTTAATATGCAATATTTAAAAAAAACTAATGTTGTATATAATATGAATAATACTACATTATTAAATTTTACTATGTACTGTATTTTCTTATTATGTATTAAATTGATTATTTTTTCACTATTTTTAAATAATATCCGTGCATCGCACGGGAAAAAAAGGCTAGTTTTTTTAATGATAAAATACTAATTATCATATTCTCAAAGACTTCCCTTAAGACTCTCAACACTTTCAACTTCTCTCTTCCACTTCAACACGTTTGAGTTTATCCTCTTATTTACATCCCACCTCTCAACTTCTCCACCCCAGTTTAATCTCTCCCCGTTTCTACCAAATGTTTGTGGCTTCATAAAATATTAGCGATTTTGCAATTTGTTTTCTCTTCATAGTTCATAATAAATCCGGTTTTCGATTTTTACAAAAAAGGGTAAATAAATTTGATTTTCATCCTTGGCGGATTTATTGACATCGTTCTACAGAATTTCTAACATTTGAATTTTATTTCTTCATCCCACCTAAGGGTTCTTCTTTTGGTTACCCGATTTTAGAATTTTGTCTTATTTTCTTCGTCATCCTATTGACTGTGTGATGATTATTAGTTTGCATCTTTTTTCATCATGGCTTATAGGTAATTTCATTTTGTTAAATTATGTGTTTCATTAATTTATACCAAAGATTTCAAATTTTGTGTATAACAATTATTTCCTTTTAGATGTTATTGGACATGTTATTGAAATAGATGATTGGAGAGAACTAAGCAAAAATAGGCGGAGCCACAAGCTATTGGAAGTCAACCTTCAAGACTTATTGTTTGTATGCGATATTTAATTTATTGTTTGCATTTATTTTGTTTCTTAATTTTCCAATTGTTAATTCCGGTGGCAAAACAAGACCAAAATGAGGCAGTGGAGAAGGGCTTAATTACGATGCAAGATGTATAGATGGCCTTTTACGTTGCTATGCTGTCGATACTTTAGTTTTGATTAGGTTAACAGTTATTAAATCTAATTACTTTTAACGTTAACATGAAAGACATAGTTGATGATTTTATTCCTGGTTCAATTTTTCAATCTACTCCTATTAGCTGATTCAATTCATATGGAAATTATTCAACAGCAAAGTTATTTGCTTTTTTTTTCCGATAGTATACTTAGTAATGTTCCACTGATGAATTATTAATGAATGATTATAACAGACTTTTGATCATACGATACATCAAACGTTTGTTTATATTCTTACAACATCAAAACAATGCAATTTGTTGTCCCGTGCATCGCACGGGTACACTTACTACTACTACTACTACTACTACTACTACTACTACTACTACTACTACTACTACTACTACTACTACTACTACTACTACTACTACTACTACTACTACTACTACTACTACTACTACTATTACTACTACTACTACTACTACTAATAGTAGTAGTAATAGTAATAATAATAATAATAATAATAATAATAATAATAATAATAATAATAATAATAATAATAATAATAATAATAATAATAATAATAATAATAATAATAATAATAATAATAATAATAATAATAATAATAATAATAACAACAACAACAACAACAACAACAACAACAACAACAACAACAACAACAACAACAATAATAATAATAATAATAATAATAATAATAATATTAATAATAATAATAATAATAATAATAATAGTAATAATAGTAATAGTAATAATAATAATAATAATAATAATAATAATAATAATAATAATAATAATAATAATAATAATAATAATAATAATAATAATAATAATAATAATAATAATAATAATAATAATAATAATAATAATAATAATAATAATAATAATAATAATAATAATAATAATAATAATAACAATAATAACAATAACAAGAATAACAATAAGAATAATAATAACAATAATAATAATAATAATAATAATAATAATAATAATAATAATAATAATAATAATAATAATAATAATAATAATAATAATAATAATAATAATAATAATAATAATAATAATACTAATAATAATAATAATAATAATAATAATAATAATAATAATAATAATAATAATAATAATAATAATAATAATAATAATAATAATAATAATAATTAATTAATTAATTAATTAATTAATTAATTATTTTTAAAAATATACAAATATACTATTAGGGGGTTTCTTAGGTTTCTCTAGCGTTTCTTTCTTTTACATATAAAGTTATATAAAGAGTATAAAAAAATTTGGAGGCCTTTAATTTTAAAAAAAATCCGAAGGCCCTAGGCGGCCGACAAAAGTTAAAAATCTACATTGAATCTTGTAATTAGATTTTTCTGAATTACTAATTTATATTTTTTTAAATTTGAATTTTTTCGAAAGTGCTAATTTCAGTGTAGTTTTTTTTTTCCCGTGTAAATTACAACCACTCTCGAAGGTAAAGACTATTAACGAAAAAACTCCGTTTAAAAATTATATCCAGACCCCATACAATTTGTAAATTTCTAATATCCATCCCTTATAAAAGGATGTTAATGTAAGAAATATACAAATTGAGGGGTGGATGTGATTATAGAAAAATGATGGGGTTTTCTTTGTAAATAGACCTTGACCCAGGGGAGGTTGTAATTTACCATTTTTTGACATTTCTCTTAGAAAAAATTGGGGGACAAATTACGGTCACCCCTAAGGTACGAAAAACCTATATTGTTTGGGTAATTACAGCCACCCCTTCTTTTAAATATTTTTACATAAAATTTATGTAATTCAGTTATTTATCAAACCAAATCGTATATTAAGTTTGGTAAACGGTATGAAATGTTGGCGTGCCGAAATTTTGGTTCGATTTTACCGATTTAACATCGCTAAATTTATCTCTGAACGGGTTTTGCCGTAAGATAATAAATAGTTGAGGGATTACCCAAACAGAATGGGGAGTTTTCGTAATTTGACCATAAGTCGGGGATGGCCATAATTTACCCAAAAATTGGGTGCAGTGTTTGGATTGGTCAGCATTTTTACGCAACCGCTGACTAGATTTCCTCTCCCCACTCTCTTATTTAGTTACTATAATATTAATATTATTATTTTCTTTTGATTTTTTCTTTACATTCTTTCTTTCTTTCTTCATCAGGACTCCTCAGAAACAAACACATTTCTCCCAAATTTCATCGGCGATCTCCATTCCCGAAGGTCAAAATCTAAGTCAAAAAATCGCCAATCGTCTACCACCGCCGCAAATTTGAAGGCGAATAACTGATTTTTGTTGAGTAGATTCCACCCTCTTTCGTTTTTTCCTCCGGTAATTATTTTTTTATTGGATAAGCAATTTGTTTTTTCAATTATGAATTTACGGCGTGATTATTATTTATTTCTTTAGTTGTTTGATTGATATTTACAGCTTTTAAGCGAGTGAAGAAATGGATAGCAATAACTGGCGGGCTGCCCAAGGGCAGGGTCAGATTCCTGGTCAGGTTATTGGCGGCGAAGCTGCAGCCGCTGCGGGTATGGAAGGCAGCGATTGGCGGAATCATCTGCAAGCAGATTCCAGACAGAGGATTGTAAACAAGATGTAAGTTCTTCGATTCTCCCCTTTTACTTTTCGAATTAGTTTTTGCTTGTTACACTTTCTACATGAGCATGCAATTTTTGTTGGTTCATGTTGGTTTTTTTTTTTTTACTGGGTTCCTAGTTTTCTATTTTGTTTGGGTCTCATGTGTGATTATAATGTGCAACCACCCTTTTTTTGTGTCGGGTATTGGGTGGTGGGTTCGAAATACGATTTTGTTTCTAAAGCTGCCGAAGAACTGATGTTATAGTACATCGGTTTGAGGGAATTGTTATTCCACATTTTGGTTTTGCCTCTTTAGCCTTAAGAAATGTAGAATTAACTTCGTTTTAGAAGCCTGAAGATATTTACAAAATCAAGTTCAAATGATAATATTTTTATCTAGTTATTCCTTGTTTCTTTGAAGTATTTCAAGCTTGATAAAGAGATAAGATTTTGTAGCATGATACTTGATGTATTTGCACATGCAATATAGTTATTTGGTGAAGAATAATAATGTGGTTACATGGTTTCTTACAGTGTCCATGTCTTATTGTCATATATTTGGGATTTATCTAAGATTAGGTTGTGGGAGATGGTCCATTCTATTATATTGGTTGTTAAGAAACACTAAATTGGAGGAATTTTCTTTCGGGTTTAATGCACAAGTCGAACTTTTTTTACAGCTGTTTTATAGGTAATATGGAATATGACAAGGCTTGATTATCTTTCTTATGCACTTGAGCTCCAAAAATCTTATTTGACAATTGTCACTAAACCACCTTGCATATGCAACACTGCGTCCCCAAGTGTTATGGTGGTCTAGTTTAGTTATTTTACAACTCTGGTTACAAAGTTAAAAAAAAAAACAACTTTTTTCTTACAAAAAATGAAGGAATAAAGTTTGAGGCATTGCGTGTTCATTGAAGATAGTATAAGACACAAATGAGAAGGTGAATTATGCTGTGTATTGCATTACACCCGGAACATGGAATACATTTGACAACGGACAAGATATCATGTGGCTTTTACTTTGTTATTTGTTATTTGTAAATGCAGTGTAAGTGGTAAGAAAGGTGATGACAAATGTTTATGCAAATTGCTGTGTAGTATGTTGTGTTATTAAGGTATGAAATGTCAAATGCTCGGCCTAAGACGAGAGCGAAAAGAAGGAACCTCTAGATTTTATGCAGATAGTGAGATCCCAGTTTTGCGAAGTGTGGTACATTCAATTTTGAACCCTTATCTTAGAGAAAGCATGAAACAGAAAAAAGAGCAATTTAGTGTAAGAAAACAAAGAATAATAGAAGTCTTTGCAAACTAATGACACTAGACAAACTTGTAGTTTGTTTTTCAATAGAACCCAGTCACATAAATCTTATTGCATTGAATAGAAAAACAGTCTCATAAATCTTATTTCACTTGTTGTCTTCAGTTCAGAAATATTCACATTTTGATTGTACTTTGATGGCCATACATATATTACAGGATTTTGTTCTTGATGTTGGAAATTTCGAAGGTGGTAAATACTGTACGGGAAATAATATATGAAAAGTTTGAAGTCATTATTATACTTAGTGATATTTAATTACATCACATTAGTATATTTTAATAATTTCATCTTCTAAACATTATTAATTAGTGCTATTATTTTCTTAAGGATATTCGATTACATCAAATTAGTATTTTTTAGTAATTTCGTCTTCCCAAAACTCAGTGATGTATACTTTTAATTGTTAATATTCTCAATAACATGAGAAGGTTTAAAAAAAACCGTTTTAAAACATCCCTGGCTGGTAACATAAGTATTGTAATATTTAATTTCAATTGAAGGATGGTAAAGATCCCTCAAGTATTCTAGAAAATTCTCACTTATTGGTGTATATAAATCAATAAAAGAATGAATGAAGAAACATACTATTATCATTTTAGCCCGCATTCTGCATCCTTAAGATTCTGTTTTTTGTTGCAATGTAAATGTACATATGAATAAGAAAGGTTCTCAAGTATTTACTATTTAATAAAGAAAGGCCTTGTAAACTGTGCTTCTTTAAGTTGCAGTCTTACTTTCTGTGTGCACCCAAAGACCGGTTAGATTTTGTTCGCTGGAATCTGGTGTTTTGTGCTGATGTTGTGATTATGGAACTAATACTTTGATTCCTTAACACTAGAATGGAGACTTTGAAGAGGCATCTTCCTTTCTCTGGACAAGAGGGACTGCAGGAACTTAAAAAAATAGCTGTCAGGTTTGAGGAAAAGATTTATACAGCAGCAACAAGTCAGGTATAATCATCATATGAGTTCTCTTTTATATTTGCCGTAAGCAGGCTAGACTTTGACATATTTGTATCATTTTTCTAATTGGTTTGCTAAAACTTATTCCTTTTGTTGCTTCTGACCATTTCTTCCACAACATACTCTTGCAGTCAGATTACTTGAGGAAGATATCTTTGAAAATGCTGACAATGGAGACGAAATCCCAGAATCCTATACAAAATTCTCTTCAGTCTACTGCTGCAAGTAATAGCAAAAATCCTCAAGATCCAGGTAAGGAAAATTATGAGCTGCTATGTGAAAATTACAAAATGTTTCAACTTACTTCGTTTTTGAATGATGTACCTACTCCCTGGGTACTACTCCCTCCGTTTTAAAATAATGCATTTGAGGTTTCACATAGTTATTAAGCAAGCTAACTGATAAGCATAAAGTATTGATTTTAGAAAAAATATGTAAAGAACTGAAGTACCCTCCCAACTAATTCTCTTTTTATTAATTACTCTTTCCATTGGTGAGAATAATATTTGATAGAATTTAGGGGTAAGAGCAAATATGGAAGTAATCAATACAACATTGAAATTCCAAATGATAGATAATATGAAAAAAAAAATTCTCCGGTTAATTTGAAACGGAGGGAGTATAATATTAGCTTGTCCAATGTTATTATGGAAACACATGAAGTTTTCCAGCATTTCCTCAGTCTTGAGCCTAGAGACTTTCATTTATTGTTGCATTATCTTTACTTTTTCCTTCGCTACCCAAATCAACATTTCACCTACCCGTCTTGATACTAGTTCTTATCTTCTATATGCAACAAGCTCATTATTGCAAGCATAAATTGACTTCTAATTATTTCTTTTGTGTTTTATCTTCCTATTGAACACTAGATCGAATCACATACCGACTAACTGTAGGCTTGAAAATTGATCCACTGCTTGAATTAGGATGCTAAATTTTCTTATACTTAAAATTTTGGAATAACTTTGGAACTGAAGTTTGAACTTTTTTTCTTTTTTCTTTGTTTCGTCCAATCTTCTTATAGTCACCCTCATCCTTAATATTTGTTTCAGATAATGACTTTGAAAGTCAAACTAGAAAGGAAAAATTTGGACATAGGGATTATTAGTAGTTGTGTCCAAAAGTTGTCAGCACTGGGACTTGCTTGGCTGCTGATCTAGCCATTTTTTGGTGTTCAAGTTTCTGTTTAAGCCTTTTGCTTGGTCCATTTACTCCTTTCAGTCAATCGACCTCTTACGACGGTCAGGAGGGCGATGTGTTGTGAATATTACTTAAATAACCATGTAATAGACCAAAAATATACCACCGCCGGAGATCAAGGATCTACCTTTCTTTGGATCAACAAAAACATCTGAGATTGATGAAACAGGGAAAATAATTCCGAAAACATGTGATATTGATGATCTAGCTTGCATGTATCATAGCAATTTGTTTCTTTTGCTCTGTATATTCATTTACTGACTAGACTGGCATGTGTGTCTTCACATGCATGTTACACAGCTTCTCAAAGCATGCAATCCCAAATGCAAAATCAGGTTCAGCAGCTACCGATTCCAATGGTTTCCAATCAATCTCAAGTTCGGCAACAGCTTTTATCCCAGAATATCCAGAATAGCATTTCATCAACTGGAGTGCCAAATTCTGCTGGTTTGTCCTCTGCGCTGCCCCCTGTCGGTGGAATGTCTCAGGGTACCATGCCTAGTGTTCCTGGCCAGAATCCTAACATGCAAAACATACAGAACATGTCCAATGTAACTCCGAACGCAGTAGGGAATTCCATGGGGCAAGGCGTGCCTTCTAATATGTACGCCAATTCTCAGAGGCAGATTCAGGGTAGGCAACAACAGGCTGTGACTCAAGAGCAACAACAGCAAAATCAGAACCCACAGCAATATATTTACAATCAGCAGCTCCAACAGCACCTTATGAAACAAAAACTGCAGCAAGGAGGTGTCCCACAAGCCATTATGCAACAACAGCAGAACCTATTGCAAACAAACCAGCTTCAATCCTCTCAGCAAGCTGCTATGCAACCTTCTTTGAGGCAGACATCAGCTTCGTCTACTCTTCAAAATCAGCAGTCAACTCAATCTATGCTTCAGCAGCAGTCACAATCAGTCCTCAGACAGCAGCAGCAGCAACAACAACAACAACAACCTCAGCAGTCGTCCATTATGCATCAGCAGCAAACATCGATGCCTCAGCACCCAATGCTGCCGACACAGCAGCAGCAGCAGCAACAACAGCTTAGTGGGCAGCAGCCGAACAGTGCGAACATGCAACATAACCAGCTGATTGGCCAACAAAATAGTATTCTTGATGCTCAACAGCTTCAGCAGCAACAGCAAAGGATCATTGCTCAGCAGAACAATATCTCCAACATGCAACAGCAGCAGACAATTAATCAACAGAACAATCTTTCGAACATGCATCAACAACAGTCAACTGGTCAGCCGAACAACCTCCCGAATATGCATCAGCAGCAGTTAGGGCCTCAAAGTAATCTTTCTGGTTTCCAGCAGCAGCAAATGGTCGGAATGCAACATGGTAACACTACCTTGCAAACAAACCAGCAACCTGTCCATATGTTGCAGCAATCTAAGGTTTCTGTACAGCAGCATCAGCAGAACATGTCAAACATGTTGCCTAACCAAACTCAACAACCGCAGTCACAGCCAATGCAGCAGCAAATGATGTCACAGATCCAATCACAGCCAGGGCAGATGCAACAACAATTGGGTATGCAACAGCAGGTCAATAACCATCCAAGAGACATGCAACAAAGGATTCAAACATCTAGTCCCTTGCTTCAACAACAAACCACGATCGATCAACAGAAGCAGATGCTGCAATCTCAAAGAGTCATCCCTGAGGTGCCACTAAGTAAGTATTTGATGTTCAAGTGTATTACGTAGTTCTTGGTGCTTGACTGTGTTTCTTTTTCTTGCAGTCTTGATTTCCCTTTTCCTTGTCATGTTATGATAATTTCCTAACTGCACCAGGTTGATATATACTGATTATTCATACCATATTTACTCTTTTTCCAATAAGCTATGTGCTGGGTGCTAGTAATTTATAAACTAGAACCTAGAGAAGCCTTCTCCGGGGAAGAACCATGTCTAACCGTTTTTTGGCGTTAGTATGTTAATTGTCCCAAGGTCTTAATTCTGTCGTCATTTTCTCAAGTTCTTTAGAAGTGTCTAGTTAATTTTGCAAAATCCTGTCACTTACACTCTCCCGCAAGCTGAAGCGCAAATCACACCTTGTTAAACACAAAAGTCTTAAAATTGAAAATTGGATAGTAGTTCAGTGTAGACAGAAGTCCAATCATGGTTGGCTAGTAGACGGATGGTAATCCAATCATGGTTGGCTGGTAGACAGATAGTAATGCAAGTTGGATCCCCTGACAGAGTAGTGGTCCAGTCATAGTTGGCCGAGAAAAAAGGTAGTGGTTCAGTCATGGTAGGCTGACAGACTCAGTAGTAAAAGAGCATCGGCCGATCAGATTTGACTGTAGACATAGAAAGACAGTAGTAAAAGTTGCAGTGGCCTACTCAAATCTAATTGACAGACTGATAGTAGGTAAATAGGAAGTTTTGTATGTAAAGTGTAGGTAACATAATTGGATACCATGATAGACATACGAATGAACAGTAGACATATTTTTGTTTTTAAAGGGATTTAGAGTTTGACTAAAACAGGTCTTTGAGCCGAGGTAGTAGAACACGAAGCACAAAAGAGTAGAAAATAGAGAAAAATCGACCCTTTCTTTTTTTTGTGTGTGTTGTTTAAGATCAATCATACAACTCCTAAATAATATCCAACACTTATGACGTAACTTTGTAATAACACTTCCATTATTAATAAATACCGAGTCAGGAGTGAATAAAAAACATATCAGGCTTGATGAAGAACATTCTGTCTAAACTACAAATCAGCCGTCGAACCCAAAGTTATTAGTTCTGCTTGAGAGAAAATGTTATTGCGTCCCTGTGTCAGATTAAGTGCATCTTTTCATGTGGTGCTACTGCCATGTAATAATAATAGTATCCTTTTGCTTTATTTCATTAAGAAAGCTAACAGAAATTAATTGTAGCATCTTTAGATTCCTCATCACAGACGGGAAATGCAAGTGGTGGAGATTGGCAAGAGGAGATTTATCAAAAGGTATTTTATCAAGTCTTCTTTCCTCTTCCCATATTATATAACAATTTGTTAGGTTGTCATGCAGGCTATCTGTTCCCATCGATTTATTATCTTTTTTAACCTCACGCTAATGTTGGTTTAGTTCTAATAATGTATTGCTTCCTTGCAGATCAAAACCATGAATGAAAGGTATTTTCCGGAATTAAATGAGATGTGCAAGAGAATGGCTGCCAAATTGCAGCAGGTTAGCTATATGTTACACTTTATTCAGTTAGGCATTACTGAAGTTTTGAGTTATCTTCAAATGACTTATAATAGATGGAAGTCAAGTTAGCCATCTATTCTGCTGTCATATATGTGGCCTGTAAGCTACTAAAACGGACAAACTCAGATTTAATCTTTCAACACACTTATCATTCTCCCTCTTGTCTGTGGTCCTGTCTGGGCCTGAATGTGTGTGTGTGTGTGAAGTAAACTCCTAGATAACATTATTGCAATTCGTGTATAGTTAACATCATTTATAATTATGTCTCTCTCTACTAACTTATGTCTTTCCATGTTTCAGCACGATGCTCTTCCTCAACAACCAAAGAACGAGCAACTTGAAAAACTAAAATTTCTTAAGAGTTTGTTGGAACGTCTTATACAATTTTTGCAAACTAACAAGAATGAGATTCAGCTCCATCACAAGGAGAAGATGGGTGGAGTTGAGAAGCAGATTGTGAATATTCTTAATTCGAATAGGCCTCGAAAGCCTGTTTCATCGATGCAGCAAGGGCAGCTCTCGCAGCCTCACATACATGCTATGCAACAATCTCAGCAGCCACAGCCTCAAATTTCTCAAATGCACATGAATGAAGGTCAAATGAATTCCCAGCTGCAACAAATGAATGTACAAGGTTCTTTGGTGACTTCACAGCAGAATAATATGACCAACATGCAGCATAATTCCTTATCTTCTTCTGTATCCAATGTTTCAAATTCTCGCCAGAATATGATGGATACTCTTCAGCCTAGTTCAAATATCGATCCTGGGCAGGGAAATTCACTGAACCAAATGCAGCAAGTAGCTATGAGCTCTCTACAACAAAATCCTGTGAGTGGTCCGCAGCAGATGAATATTAACCCTATATCATCACAAAGTGGGCTAACAACGCTGCAATCAAATCTTAATCCTTTACAAGCAAACTCAAACATACTTCAACCACAACAGATAAAACAGGAGCAACAAATGTTTTCGAGCCAGCAACTAAAACAGGAGCAGCAAATGTTCTCGAACCAGCAACTAAAACAGCAATACCAGCAGCGGCAGATCCAGCAACAGTATATGCAAAGGCAACAGTTAATTCAGCAGCAACAGCAAACTGCTCAGCAGCAATCAGCACAGTTGCCTTCACAGCAAATGATTCAGCTTAATCAGATGAATGACGCAAATGATATGAAGATGAGGCACCAGATGGGTGCAAAACCAGGAGTTCTCCAGCCACATAATTCCTCTGGTCAACGGCAATCATATCATCACCAACAAATGAAGTCTGGGGCCCCATTCTCTATATCCTCACAGCAGGTTCATCAGGCGGCATCCCCTCAGTTAGGTCACCATCATTCTCCACAAATTGACCAGCAGAGTCTTCTGGCATCACATAGCAAAGCTGGAACTCCTTTGCAATCTGCAAACTCACCATTCATTGTCCCCTCTCCTTCCACTTCCATGGCTCCATCCCCATTGCCGAGCGATTCAGAGAAAATGAATTCTGGTGTTACGTCGCTATCAAATGTTGGAAATAGCATGCATCATCCAACCACTGCAGCATCCGTACCAAACCAGTCCCTTGCTATTGGCACCCCTGGAATATCAGCCTCACCTTTACTAGCAGAGTTTACCAGTCCTGACGGAGCTCATGGTGTTGCATCAACCATTGTTTCCGGAAACTCTAATGTTGTGGAACAGCCACTTGAACGGCTGATCAAAGTGGTCCGTAGGACTTCCTTTCATGATATATGGAATGACAATTATCTTGAAAACCTCATTACTGCATCTTATTTAGACTTGAATTGTTGTTTTCTCTTTCATTTTGACAGGTGAAATCAATGTCTCGGAACGCTTTAAGTGCCTCAGTTAGTGACATTGGCTCTGTTGTCAGTATGGTTGACAGAATTGCAGGATCTGCTCCAGGAAATGGATCACGGGCTGCAGTTGGCGAAGATTTGGTTGCTATGACTAAATGTCGTCTGCAGGCTAGAAACTTTTTCACACAAGATGCGCCCAGTGGTACCAAAAAAATGAGACGTTATACTAGTGCAATGCCTCCTGATGTTGTTTCATCTACTGGCAGTGTGAACGATAGTCTCAGGCATTTGAATGGCAATGAATCTGATGGAGAATCAACTGGCGCGTCGAGCATCAAAAGGCCTCGGGTTCAGGTACTTCCTACTTTACTCTCTCTCTCTCTCTCTCTAATGGAAAATACCACCTCTCATATTACTTTTCTCGTGTACGTGCTCACTCATCTAAATTGTCACCTTTCATTAACAAGTTCCACCCCATGATACTATAGCCATTTGGTATTGGTGCTTATGTCATGCTAGGATTTTGCGTATTTCCGTCTGTGCATAGCTAATATGAGTTAGTTTTAATATATAGTTGTGTCGACCTCAGGCAAGTAGTTTATCATGGACAGTTAAAACACCTTTATAATTTTGTTTTTCTCATTTTCTTTTCATGTGGTGGATGTCCAGAATATACTATTTTTACTTTTAGTTGGTAGTTTGTTATCATTCTACGATTAGGCCATTATTGACAGGCAATAAGCAGATAGGCATTTTGTCAATTCCATCGAAATGTAGATTTGCGGAGGACGTTGAGTTATGCAGGGGATCACAATTAATGCCTGTGTGTGGAAAATGTTATTATGTTACTTGAAGTCCTTGATTGTATTGATAATTCTCCTTACAAGACTAGTCAACAGATGTTTTGTGTAGTCTTCCAGTTTTGTTATAGTGCAGAATGCCTATGGGCTATTGTTCTTAACTTGAAAGATGAATTGTTATGGTTGCAGGCTAACCATGCACTTGAAGAAGAGTTGCGGGAAATAAATCAAAGACTCATAGACACTATTGTGTATATAAGTGAAGACGATGTTGATCCGACTGCAGTTGCTGCTGCTGCTGAAGGTGGAGAAGGAACTATTGTTAAGTGCTCTTTCAGTGCTGTGGCTCTCAGTCCGAATCTGAAGTCACAGTATGCTTCAGCACAAATGGTGAGATTCTGAACATGTTAATGCCTCTTATGACCTTGTCTTACCAATCCATATTTACGGATGTTGTTCGCAAAAATGCAGTCTCCAATTCAACCTCTACGGCTGTTCATTCCCAATAATTATCCAAACTGCTCTCCAGTACTTTTGGACAAGTTTCCTGTTGAAGTCAGGTGAGTATACATGATTTGGCTCTCTTCTTTCTAGTCGTTCGGGTTTTTAATGCCTGTTTTCTTGTCAAATACTGGTATTTTCGCGTTCAACTTATTTATTTATTGATAAAGGGCTTATAAAGCACAAAATGGAAGCGTAATGGTCCATTAGTGTAATTTGGTTCATGTAATATCAGGCAAATATCGTGAAAGCCGATTGAAGTATTTCTAAGAGAATATATATATGAGTTGCTTTAGGAAAGGTGAAATAAGTGAGTATTAAATAAAAGTTGACAAATAAAGAACACAAGTTGGTATCTGAATCTGTATCTGTATTTGCATTAAAATCCTTATAATGTGCTCATAGAATATCTGCCCGTTAATTTGCATCTGCAGCAAAGAATATGAAGATATCTCCATAAAGGCAAAATCGAGATTCAGCATTTCCCTTCGAACTCTAGCACAACCGATGTCACTTGGGGAGATAGCAAGGACTTGGGATAATTGTGCTCGTACTGTTATTTCTGAGTACGCACAGCAGAGCGGTGGTGGAACCTTCAGCTCTAAATACGGAACCTGGGAAAACTGTTTGAGTGCAGCTTAATAATGTTAAATCTCAGATCGAGATACTGTTTTCTGTATTAGTGTGTATATCTCTGTAACAAAACTGTCGAATTATGTAAAAGAAAATAATGTATCTCGAGTATTGCTTGCAACTACAGTGTGGTGTAGATAGCTGCTTGATTATGTTGTTGTATGGTTTTAAATTTTTTAGACGGGTTGTGATTGTCGTATGTTTTTTCTTACAAGGGGCGGTATAAGAAAAAACGTGCATTTGCAAACGGCCTTTGGATCCGGATTTAGAACAACTCGAATGATTTTAATTATTTTTTTTACATATTTTGTATTATCTTTTTCGAGATATATACACACATACAATGAAGTTGAGTCTAACCGTAAGTATGTAGACCTCATCGAATAAAACAAATACTAGAAGTATATAGTTCACATTATGTCAAAATAGACTTCGTCTGCCGTTCAATTTCGAGTAGTTTGATTCATTAATTTCAACGTTCAATAAATCACAATATTTTTGTCTGATGCATACAAACATTACTAAAACATTTAATTTGTTGGAGACAAAACAAAACATAATATAGGATATATAAATTGTTTTTGAAATTGTATACTCTAGCTATAATATATTCATCCATTCTAAAAAAAATAAATTATTTTTACTATTTTAATCATAGTATCATGTTGTAATTTCTAAAATTAAATTATTTTACTCATAGTATCTATGTTTTTTGTGCTATTTTCTAAAAATATTTCTAAAATAATGCATGGGACTAATAAAAAAGTACATGATTGATGAAGATGGGATGAGAAGTAGCTGGAAACCGATGACATCAATTAATAATGGGATTGATTAATTAATTATTATGTGTCTTAATCGAAGTCTAATAAATTATAATTAATTACCAAGAGGCTCCTAAAAAAATCATAACAAACCAAAAGAAATGCATAGTAAATCCCTCAATCCAATTTTATTAATCAGATATTTGTTGTGGCGAATAGAATACAATCTCAGCCGTTCGAATATCACCATCTATCTGCATATATAGCATTCTTGTCTGCACAACACACACACACACACACACACACAAAATAAATAGTGTTAGAAAAAATTAAGGATATTCCTTGGAATAATTACCTCAAGATTCATTCAATACCCCCTACTTTAATTTCTTTATAATTAATTAATTAATTAATTATATTCCTATTTGCTGCGTTGGATAAATGGTAAGTATACTTTTCAGCATATAATTACATTTTTAGTGTTTTGATTCTTGATCATATGGTGCACACACATTGAAAATTGTTTTGAAAAAAAAAAAAATAATAATAATAAAAATAATGCAGGTAAATAATAATGTAACTAGTGGTGAGGAATATTGGAAGGTGGTAGTGGTACAAACATGCATGGATGCAAGTTGGAGTTGCCTAAAATGGATGCCTAAAGCTTTGCCTCTCAAACCTGGAGATGACGTCATCCTTCTTGCCCTTCTCCACCTCACTATTCCCACTTCTCTCTCTTTGCCTTCTGCCGCCAAGATTTGTATGTATATATATATATACACACACTCCTTATATATGTTTCATTTATATATTTCTTATTTAATTATAATTTAAGAATGCTTTTACAAAAATAAATATTAAATATCGAATTTAATCTATCGTATTTAATATATTTTGACTTTTAAATTCCAATGGCTTTATTTTGTTATTATACCACTCATTTTTTTTTTAAATAGAATAAATAACTCAATTGTTGCACTAAACATATATCATGTTTACAATAAAAAAACATAGCGGGTAGAATAAGTGAGTTTGTGTCAATTGACTCAATCGCTAGGTTGAACTTGTCACACATAGGAGTGTAAATGAGACGAGCCGGCTCGCGAGCTTCCGAGGCTTGCTCAAACAAAGCTCGTACTCGAGATCGAAAAATCCAGCTCGAGCCCGAGCTTTTCGACGAGTCAAGCTAGCTCGAGCTTCATTTCAGTTGTTCGACAGATCGCGAGCTTTACCTTTTCTCTATATATTGTAATACATATTAATAATATATAATAATGGATATTATTAATAATAAATAAAAAAAAATAATATTACCTTTTTAATTGAAAAAAATAAATTTGATAGATGGATTTTATGTTGTGCCGAGCTCGAGCTTGGGCTCATGTCGTATTCGAGCTCGAGCTCTAGCTCTAGCTCCTTAGAAACACAAGGAGCTCGAGCTCGAGCTAAAACTTATAGGCTCCTCGAGCTCGAGCCTTGGCGAGCTCGAGCTCACGAAATAAGGCGAGCTCGGCTCGTTTACACCTCTAATCACACATGGTTAGCTTAGTGTGTTTTACGTCTCTCGTAGTTTGCAAGCTATTATATGAGAGTGCAGATTTATCTAGTACAATTATATAGTTGACTGCGGATTCCTTCATTAAGGAAGATAAAAAAATAAAAAAAATATATAGATGTGTGAGACAAATTAAACATGCGACTTATAAGATATAGGAAGATATGTATCTTGTAATATAACTTAGATGCATTTTAGCACATATACATGATTTAAAGAAGCATCATATATATAATTTCAAATGACATCATTTATTTTATTTATTTATTATTATTTTTTATGTAATTAATTACGTAATCTTGATTTAGTGGGATACAAGGATAAAGAGGAGCCGGAGAAGGTATCAATTATAAAAGTTAAAGAGGAAAAGCTGAGAAAGAAGAAGGAAGAATACACTGAAAATCCTGGTGTTTTGCACCTCCAGAAATTGTACGAAATTGAGAATAATGTAAGTTTTTCTTCATTATTTGTATTCACAATAAATTTATTTTGAGGTGTTAAATGTCGTACTTTATCGAATATTCTCCAAAATTAGGTAAATTACGGGCACCCCTAAAAGTAAAACTAATTAATAATATACAGACTCGTGTTGCTAAATTACAAATATCCTCTTAAGTCCCGTTTTACAATTACATCCTTATGGAGTTACGAGTAACAAAATTCCACACAATAATCGTTCTGAATTTCTAAAGCTACCCCAGGGGAGTAAATACAATATACGCGTATGAGATAATTGTAATATTTTGTCTTACCTTAAGGGTACGCGTAATTTACCCATAGTCAATTTTTTTTGATAAAAAAGTTGTTTAAACATATCATTCCATTAGAGTTTATAATGACAGTTAGCTTTAAAGAGTATTTATATTACCAATACCTCGTGGGTTTGTAAGTTATTTACTCTTACATTAGGGGATATCCGTAATTTACCAAAAAAATTAGGGCAAATTACGACCAACTCCTGAGTTATGGTCAAATTACGAAAACTCTCTACTGTCTGGATAATTACAGTCACCCCTCAACTATATATTATCTTATGAAGATAGTCCTCTAAAGGTAAATTTAGGGATGTCAAATTGGTAAAACCGAACAGAAAATTCGGTGTAAGTAACCGAGTTACATAAATTTTATATAAAAATATTTAAAAGAATGGATGGCTGTAATTACACAAACAAGAGAGTTTTTTTTTTCGTAATTTGATCATACCTCGGGGGTCGCCGTAATTTCCCCAAAAAAATAAATTCTTTTAAGTCAAAACTAAATATTTTCGCTCCAAATAGTTTGGAAAAATATTAGAAGTCGGAATTTCAGAAATTAAGCGCTTAAAAAAAAGAAAAAAACAAAAAATGACCGGAAAAGATGGCGGAAGACGAAACCAAATCCCGCCGCGGCACTGGTGGACAATCTCCCGGCGCAGCAGAGGCGGAGGCGGAGGCAACGAAAATGAATGAATTCAGTTCAGCCCCGTGTCTATTTTCGCCCAATTGCCCAGCTCATCGAAAACTCCGTAGTTACCGTTAATTGTGTGTTTCTGTAATTTCATAGGTTATCTTCAACTATTTCGATCTCTGCAACAAATTAAAATGTAATTTTTTTGTGTGAATCGCTCAGGTGAAGGTGAGAGTGGAGGTAGAGGGAGGCTCGTCTCGTAAATTGGCTGCTGTCAGAGCCGCCAAAAGGTTGGGGGCAACATGGATTATCCTCGACAGGTTTTTTAAATTCTTTACTTAATTCAATTTTTTTTTTGATTTGTAATGTAGGATTTAGGGCTGTCTGTACTTGGATAATTAACAATTGGATTATTCACAATTTAATTATGTATTGTACAATAACTGAGTAAGAGTTGTGGTTTGAAATATAATCCCATATTCACAATTCTGTTGTTGTTTCACTATAGGGAGATGAAGAAACACAAACAATACTTTATGGACAGGCTCTCGTGTGGAATATCGAGTATCAAAAGCAACAACACTATTGTACAAATTCGAGAACCAATCAACGAGCACGTATCCTATGATGAAATGATACCATCGTACTCGTGGGAAGATCTATCCCCATCGAGTAAGTCACGTTTTTTCCTCCGTTTCTCGGGGTGAATATTTTTATCAACAGTGGTTTTGAATATGAATATGTTGGTGGGGGTTCCTACATGAAAAAATATTTAATAGCATTTCGGTATTCAATTAAATAACCAACGTAATAAGAAATGATTTGTGGGGGTGGGGCGGGGTTGCCAAATTAAAGATGCAACAAAATTAGTACCGATTTGGTTGTATTGATTTATTATGCTTTGTTGCGTACTTAATCATGTAGAAAGGGACAGAAGAAACATGTGTAAGTGTTATGAACGAGTCGACAAAAAGTTCGTCTATTGATATTTTATGTTCCTGCAGAATCGCCAGGGGCGCAAGGAACAATCTCATGCAAAAAGACAGCACATCCTTGTTCTAGTAAGCCTTTGCTTGTTAGTTCCCAAAGATTAAGTTCAACGTCTAGTTTCATCGAGGGAAAAAGTTCTCCCTCGCATGTTAAAGAGTTCCAAAGCTCTACGAGTGCCAAACGAGGAATTATACCAAAGGAGAAATCTCCTCGTCAAGCTCCTAAATCTACCAAAAATGACCAAAATGAACCATGCAAGACATTGTTAAAGAGTAGGAAGTTGCAAGAAGTACTAAACATTGGGGGAAGAAACGGGATAAATGAGAACCATGTGGAGGAGTTTGCAAATTCTATCTGTTCTGTTTGCAATAACAAACGACCCAAAATTGGTTGTCAGAGAGACTTCACTTACGCAGAACTCCACGAGGCTACAAAAGGGTTTTCGAGAAAGAATTTCCTATCGGAAGGTGGATTCGGCTTTGTTTTTAAAGGGAGGCTGAAAGATGGGTTGAAAATAGCTGTTAAGCAGCACAAAGCTGCTAGCCTTCAAGGAGAAAACGAGTTCAAATCCGAAGTCCATGTACTTAGCAGAGCAAGACATCAAAATCTAGTTGTGCTATTGGGCTCATGCAGTGAAGGAAAACATAGGCTACTTGTTTATGAATATGTCTGCAATGGCTCGTTGGAAGAACGCTTATCAGGTAAACTAATTGCACTTGAAATGCGTCTGCGTGTGTTTTAAGTTCACCTGTATTTTTCTCTGTTTTTCTTGAAATGGAAAATAAATTGAACGAAAGAAGCTTTTTTCTGAAAAACTGCAGATGAGAGCCCACTGCATCTCAAATGGGAGCAGAGAATGAAAATAGCTATGGGAGCTGCCAAAGGTTTGGCATATTTGCACGAACGCAATATTGTTCATAGAGATATGAGGCCAGGGAATATTCTCATGACACATGACCATGAATCACTGGTTAGATTCCCATCCTAGTTCTGGCTATTCCTTTTCAGATAATATAACGTATATTCATGACTAAAAATTGTGTACATAATAGTATTTTCATGTGTCCGTACACTGTAATCTTTAAGTTGTTACGGTGTTTCTTCTCATATTTTTTGTACAGAAAAAAGAGTAAAGAAAAGAAAAAGGTTAATGTAAACCTTTGTAAGTGATGTTTCTGTTGTATCTCAGGTCGGGGATTTTGGCCTTGCCAAAGCACAACAAGATGATACAATTAATTCATTTGGAGTGGTCGGCACTCTCGGATATGTGGCTCCGGAATATGCAGAAAGTGGGAATTTTTCTACGAAGACGGATGTTTACTCATTTGGAGTGGTTTTGTTGCAGCTTATCACTGGACGAAGGACAACCGATGAGATACCTGGAGGGAAAAGTCTTGTTGGATGGGTAAATTTTATATACCACTAGATTCTTTCTTTCTTTTTTTTATTTTTTTATTAAATTTTTTTAATTTTTTGGGTTTCAAAATAAAAATTTAGGGGAAATAGAAAGTTGTTCACGGTGGAGTTGTGCTCTTAATTTTGACAGGCAAAGCCACTTTTGGAAACAAAAAATTATCATGACCTTATTGACAAGAGGATTATAGACTCACACGATGTGCACCAGCTATTTTGGATGGTGCTCGTCGTTGAAAAATGCCTCAAAAGAGACCCTCTTAATAGGTGGACTATGGAACATGTAAGTCGATCGATTTTAATACTTCCTTTTATATTATTTTATCCATGCATCAATACCATGTGATCTATAATATAAAACACTATTCGAGATTTTAATTCGAATAAATAATATGCCAAAACTATTCTCTCTGCCTTGTATGACTTGCCAATCGACACATTCTTGCCTTATATTTTGTGTGGGAGGCCATGTGTTCGAAGCTTATAAAAAGATGCTCTTGACTCCCATTTGATTTCTTCAAGTGTGAACAATATTAGAAAATAAAGTTCTGAACTACTTGGATAAATTTGATACAAAAAGAATTCATACTCGGATGAATTCTTTATACCAACTAAAATCTCGTTGACATTAAAACGTATGTATCGGAATTTCTAATAGGAAAATAAATCTTGCAACCGTATGCAGATATTACGAGATTGAAGTTGACATTCTTTGACATGGTCTCTATTATGCAGGTAGTACATAACTTAAATTGCATCAAACAAGGGAACACAAACTTTATTATAGACTTTCCACCGACGGAATCAGATTCCTTTCCCACCGTACTAAACTCCTCAGTCGAATGACCAGACTTGTGAACGAAATACGGTCTCTTTGATGGAGATATTTGCTTATTTCTGATTAGATATTTGTCTAAGCTATGATATTTGGTAATTGTTAGTTAATTTTTATATTGCAGTACTTTATGATGCTTTTCGTTTGTCTAAAGAGAAATAAAGTTGTCCTTTTGTTTTCTTGCTATCCTGGAATAATAAAGCTATTTTATTATTATAAAGTGAGGTGTGTTATTATTATTATCTGCTAAAACTATATAAAAATGATACATTTGCATTTGTAGATAATGTTGAAAGGGGGTTTGCAAAGTTCACTAAACATTGAGAGTTTGTGGAAATAATTTCTAGTATCTGAATTGTCTTTCGGAGGTTTACTTTTTTGGTTGTATGTATGGAACAAATTCTCCTCATTATTTCAAGATTTTCGAATTTTTTTGTGTTGTACTTGGAGCAAGAGAAAAAGAAAACACAGAGAGAGATAAACAAAGGGGATAATTGGTTAGACACCCATTGTTTGGAAGTTATATAGGTGGAAATCCGTTTTGATAGATGAAAATAACTATAAGAGCAACTCCAACGCTAATTATCAAAATTGAATTATCAAATATTCATTTGATATTTGAGATAATATTTTAATATTTATTAAAATTCATCTATTTCGACCGTAGTTATCAAATTAAGGATTTTTGGCACTTTGCACTCTTGAATTATACATTTTTGGCACTTTGCACCATTGAATTACACATTTTTGGCACTTTGCATCCTTAAATTGCAAAATTGATAGATTGCACCCTTTAAACATAAATTGTTTGGCACTTTGCACCCTTTAAACATAATGCACTTTGCACCCCATATCGCTTTTAGCTTAGAAAAATTACCTGCAACTTGCAGGGAAACCTAGAAGATCGGCAAATTCGTAATTCTCTTATTATCTATCCTCTTCCCCCAATTCTTAATCACCATTCCACCGTTTTTATCTTTCGTCATTTTAATCAAAAAATCCTAAAATCTTCTTAGCTATTTCTATTTGCTCTAATATGTAAATTTTGAACTAAAACTCAAGAATGGCTGGAATATTGATGATGCTAATATGTAGCTCACCTATGGTGGTGTAGAAAATGAACTGGGAGAGCAAAGCGGATCAGTAGCTTGACAACTTGATGATCCTGAGGTACCTGCGATCTTAAAACACATGAACTAAGCCGGGGGTTGATCCGGCGGAAACCCCTCCGACGCTCAAGTCAGATGTGATGATCATAGAAATAGTTCAGAGAATACATATTATAGTATTGCTTAGTTAATAGGACGTACCTTATGGAATGAGTTCAAATGTGTATTTATAGCTTAGTTGAGATTGTCGGGCCCATACCTTGCTTGAAGGTGATTGGGCCTCGGTGATAGTGGTCTTCGATATTGGGCTCGTGGCCCAGTAGGTAAATAATTTGTAGGCCCATTGGGTTGGGCCAATTAAGCATATCATTAAGCCCCCCACTCTCGAGTCGATGTGGGGGCCATGTTGAAATGAGTGACATATCGTGTCGAGAGTAAAAATTGTAGTAGTCGATGGTGTGCGATAACGCGTTGAAGCGTGTGTCGGAGGGGCGTGAATGCGCGTTGGCGCATAGCGCGACCAAGTTGTCGCGATGTAAGTTAATTGAGTCGTCGGTTTTGTCCCGCGACGATGTAGTAGCGAATTATCTCCTCGTGGGAGTTGTCTCGTCGCGGGGTAATAGTGTTGATCGAGTTATCTCCTCGTGGGAGTTGTCTCGCGATAATGTAGTAGCACGGATGAAGTAATCTCCTCATGGGAGTTGTCTATGGGGTAATAGAGTTGATCGAGTTATGTCCTCGTGGAAGTTGTCTCACGATAATGTAGTAGCACGGAGCTAGTATTCTCCTCGTGGGAGTTGTTATTTTTCGACATTGTCGATGTTTTGACGCGTTGCTTATATGTGTTTACATATAGCCTTGTGCGTGATGTACTTGAGGAGGGGATCAGACTCTCAAGATTTTTTTATGGGGGTCGTGCCCCTTGTTAAACCTCGTGGGTCTTAAGTATGTTTGGACCGTGGCCACGTTTTAATAAATGAACCATCGAAAACAAGTAGATAAATTTGAGTAATCAAGCTGGCCAGACTATATAGATTCTCATAATATCTCTAAGTGCTTCTAGGGTTGTAATCGTGCTAACTTAAGCTTGCGATTATATAGTGAATTTCGGGCGAGTTGCCTCCTCATGGGAGTTGTCTCGCGGTGAGTAATATTATCGAGTGAGGTGGTTGCAGTGGGAGTTGCCTTGCAACGAATTTGTAGTGTTGAGCGAGTTGGCTCCTCGTGGGAGTTGGCTCCTCGTGGGAGTTATCTGGCTACCGAACGAGTTGGCTCCTCGCGGGAGTTGTCTCGCTGCGGGTTCGTAGTACCGAGCGAGTTGGCTCCTCGTGGGAGTTGTCTCGCTGCGGGTTGTAGGACGGAGCGAGTGGTCTCCTCGTGGGATTTTCCTCGCAAGGGGTTGTAGATCCGAGGGAGTTGACTCCTCGTGGGAGTTGCCTCGCAACGAGTTATATGACTGAGCGAGTTATCCTCTCGTGGAAGTTATCTTCGCAAGCCCCCCACTCTCGATTCGATGTGGGAGTCAAGTCGAAAATAATACCGGATCGTGTCGAGAGTATATCGATGTCGTGGTGTACCGATAACTGTTTGCGTGGTGTGGAGAAATAATATTTTTTATTTATCCGTTTGAGAGCGCGCGCGAATTGGCGAGGCGCATTGGAGAGCTCGCGCAATTTGGTGAAGCGTGTTGAAATTCTCGTGCGATTTGGTGAAGCGAGTCAAAATCTACGCGCAATTTGGTGGAGATTATTGAGAGTTGCGCGCGCTCCGAGGGTAGAAGGCGGCGCGCAAGGAAGATCGTACGCGCTTGGAATCGTGCGCGCGGTGTCAGCCTTGGGAAGGCGCGCGCATTAATGTCAGGAGAGAGAGGAGATATCAAGACTTTATGGGGAGGCGTGCATGCATTTAATGCATGGGAAAGAGAGAGAGTGAAGGGTCACGTGTGCTCTCTTCCCTTTTCTTTGTCTTCTTTGCTTTTTCTTTTTCTTTTTTTTTTTTTTTCTTTTTTTTTTTGAGAATTCCGCGCGGCAGACGAGGCTCGCATCAGCCAAGACGCGCGGCGCACCCACGCGCTGGCAGCTCCTTTTTTTTTTTTTTTTTTTCTTTTCTCTTCCTGTTGTTGACGCGCGCGTCCGCGCGCGCTTGGCGCGTGTGTGCACACGGATGTCTTTTTTTTATTTTTCTTGTTTTTTCTTCTTCTTCACCTTATTTCTTATGCTCTTTTTTTTTATGTCCACATTTTGGGGATAATTTTCTCTTCATCTTATTCTTCTTCTTTCTTCTGTTTTTTTCTTTTTCTTGTTTCTTTTTTCTTCTCCTTTTTTTTCTTGTTTCTTTTTTCTTCAACTTCTTCTTTTTTCTACTTCTTTTTTTTTTTTTGTTTCTTTTTTCTTCATCTTCTTTTTTTTCTTTTTTCTTTTTTCTTCATCTTCTTCTAGGGTCTCGCGATTTTACCTCCCCTTTTTTTTTTTTTTTTTTGGTGGTTGATGTGCACTCCTTGGGATGTTCTATTTTTTGAGTAGGAAGATTATACTCGTCTCTTGCGATGTGATGTGAACCCACTTGGGGTTGAAAGGTAAAGATGATGCCCAACCTTGGGATGGGTTAACCACCCACTGTAGGATGAGGCGCTCGAGACCTATGGTCTGAGGTGACAACACGAGTTGAAGCTTTCGCGGTCGTATGCTGAAGGTCCTTGTCGGTTATCTGAACCGTTAGAGGAGTAAGTAGAAGTTGATATTGTTGAAGTTTCGGCGATCATACACTGAAGGTCCTCTTCGGTTATCTGAACCGTTCGAGGGGGGGCGGAAGTAGGCCCCCAAAGAGTCGATGACCCATGGTGAGCAAAATATTTTAGGGGCACTATAAAACCCCAGGGAGTCGATAACCCTTGGCGAACAAAATATTTTGGGGGCAGATGTAAGCCCCCAGGGAGTCGATAACCCTTGGCGAGCGAAATGTTTTGGGGGCACTGTATACCTCCAGGGAGTCGATAACCCTTGGCGAGCGAGATATTTTGGGGGCATAGGTAAGCCCCCAGGGAGTCGATAACCCTTGGCGAGCGAAATATTTTGGGGGCAGATGTAAGCCCCCAAGGAGTCGATGGCGGTGGTGCCATAGGTGGCTCCACATGTGGAGCAGGTGCTGGTATCGCGTTGGGAGCATTTGCTCCCATCGTGGCGATATATTGGGTCACGGCCTCTGTGGCAGCGCGAGTTGAAGCTTCTGCTATCATGCGTTGAAGCGCATCCTCGGTTATTTGAACCATTCGAGGAGCAGGGAGTGGTGCATCGGCGAGTGGTGGGTCCCGAGGGGGGATCACCTGAACCTCGCGAGGCGGATCCATGGGACGTGGAGGAGGTGGCAAGCCAGAGGCTCCACGAGGTGGGAGGTCGTTAGCTGTGTCATTTTCTCTCCGAGCAGACGCCTCAGGAGGATCTTGTTGGCTACGTGATCTGGTTTGCATCGTTCCACAGACGGCGCCAAAATGATGATGCTAATATGTAGCTCACCTAGTGTGGTGTAGAAAATGAACTGGGAGAGCAAAGCGGATCAGTAGCTTGACAACTTGATGATCCTGAGGTACCTGCGATCATAAAACACATGAACTAAGCCGGGGGTTGATCCGGCGGAAACCCCTCCGACGCTCAAATCAGATGTGTTGATCATAGAAATAGTTCAGAGAATACATATTATAGTATTGCTCAGTTAATAGGACGTACCTTATGAAATGAGTTCAAATGTGTATTTATAGCTTAGTTGAGATTGTCGGGCCCATACCTTGCTTGAAGGTGATTGGGCCTCGGTGATAGTGGTCTTCGATATTGGGCTCGTGGCCCAGTAGGTAAATAATTTGTAGGCCCATTGTGTTGGGCCAATTAGGCATATCATTAAATATATACATACAAGAGTCGGATAACACACCTTCAGAAGATCAAGTTCTATTCCATGGTAATGTGTATTCTTAACTTTATATGCTGATGTTCAATTATTTTATGTTTTTTTAGAGCTAAACACATTTTATTCAGTGTTGTTCCCGTAAATTTTCTCCGTTTTATGACCTTTAGTG